GTTACCACCAGCACGCTTTCTTTCAAATGAAAATATGGCTGTCAAACTATCGAATTGCCTGCAATAGATGTCAAGCAATAAGCGCTGACATATATTGCAGCACATGAGAAATAGGCGGTCTCCATTGGAAATATATTTTGTGACATAGTTATCACGACATCAGTGTTTTCCTGTGGAGACAAGGCCTTAATATGCTACGCTTTAATCCTCTAATCCTTCGGCTTCATAACGCAACTCATTTTCTCTACTCACACACAGATATCGACGAATGCCAAGATACTACGATAAGAGCGCGTTGTGTCGCGAATGCCGAGTGCTGTAATCTGCCAGCGCATTATCTCTGCAAATGTAAAGATGGCTATGAGGGTGATGGTGAAGTGCTGTGCACAGGTAAGAAGCGATTCATATAAAATATGTATATCCGGGTGTTTGGTTTAGCTAACTATGGAATTTTAACTTTTTTCTAACATTTTTACTAAATTATTGCAAGTTCGATTCAAACCGTAGAATTTAGCAGCAAAGGTAAGGTTATGGCGCTTAGTTCGCTATTGCTGGGCTATTAATTACTATTTGATCTGAAAATTTACGGTAGGTAGGTAGGCAAAATTATTGTTTTTTTTCTGACGAAAAGAATTCGTTGCGGTTGCGTGCTATTTGCACAAAGCAGCTTGGGATTCTACGAGAATTTAAAGATGGCATGCGTATGACATCATCATGTTATTGAAATTATTTCAGGAAATTTCAAGAATAAAGGTATTTTGTTAAGAATATTTAGCTTGTTGTATTTTATTTTATTTCAACAAAAATTTCATTAGGCACAAATATTTTCAAAGTTCTTGATCGATGGTTTTTTATTCTGCAACATCGAAAATTGCACATTGTCGTTAGTAAATATTTAGCTTTTTTTTTTTGCCATCAACCTTTATTTCTGAACAATGTTGGATTTTTTGATTTAATAGTTTATCGGCACTAGATAATCGATAACATATTATCAGGATTTATTATTTCTTTCGAAAATGAATAATATGAGAGCTTTAAAACTTATATCTGAAATTAAATATCAAAAATTCTAAAAAAATTTGCCCGTGTATGCAAAACTCTATATTAAAAGTTTCAAAATGTTATCGCTTATCAACTTTAAAATTAATTGATTAAAATTACAAATTTTTTTCAAAAACTTCTTATATTCCAGATATTTTTATTTCAAAAGCATCAATACATAAGCTTAAAAAATTTCCAGAATCCTGAAAATTCATTTTTCTTAATACAATCGACAAATTTTCAAATTCCAGAAAATTTTTCTTTATCAATTTCAAAATTAATCGATCTCTATACAAAAGTACATCGATAAATTCTTGGGGTTCTAAAAGATTTTAATAAAAAAGTAAATAATCTTCGTGTAAGATAAGATAAGTTTTCAATTCATTAAAACAATTTTTAAATTTTGTTTATAAATAAATTTTTGGCAAATTAATCGATAAATTTTTAAGTTTCACAAATTCAAGTTTTGTACAAAGGCAACTTTTTTAACTACAACGTTAATAGCGAAACATCACTTGAATATTAGTTTTAAAATTTCTAACGAAGTAATACTGTTTACTTTTTAAATTAATAAGGTACTTATAAAAAGTTCTAAGATTCTTTCTGTCATTTCGTAAATGTATCGATTTTTTTAGTTTTAAATAATGTCAGGAAATTTTTTATTGAAGGCAATAGGTATTTTTGTTTGAAGTTTTGTGACCAGTTTTAGAAATTTATCGATACATTTTTAAAATTGAACGAATAATTTTAAAAATGAATTTATAGATTAATTTTTAAATGTGTATTAGAAATACAAGAAACAAGATGAAAATTTATCGATACATTTTTTTAATTGGATGATTACTTTTTAATTTTTAAAGAACTTTCCAAAAAATTTTGTAACTGTTGACAAATTTTTGAATATTTATCGATGCACTTTTGAATTTGATCATTTTTAAAAACTTGAAAATTAAATCAAATGCTGTTGACATTCACTTAAACATTAATTAGTTTGGAAAATAAATCAATATTTTTTTCTATATTAAACCACTAGTTTTTAAATTCATAAACGAAAGATTTGGATTTTTTTTTTAATTGTATATCAAATTGTTTATATTAATCGGTTTGTTTCATAATAAATGCAGAAAAATTTTCTAAGATTTTTAAAAATTATTCGTTTTATAGTTTTAACGTTTTTCGATGGTTTCTTTTTCGAAAATCAATGAACGTATCAATTAATAATATTGTCAATACTTTTCCAATTTATCGATATTATTATTGTTTATTTATTGCTCGATTAATTTCTAAGTTATTGAAGCAAACGTTTCTGGAATTATTCAAATTTATCATTTTTTTTACTTTTTGATACAATTTGCACCACAGTCGATTAATTTTTGCATTCTTAAAAAGACACGGGTTTAGAATTCTTGAAATTTATTGATAAATTGTTGTGTAATGAGCGAGGGTGGGAATTTCGCGATCAAAATCGATCGATTTTTAGAATTTCGAAAATTAAAAAAAAATATCCTGTTTTTTTTAACTTCTCGATAGCATTTTAATCGATTTATTTTAAAGTTCAAAAAGGATTGTGGGATTTCTTCAAAATTGGGGAATTTTAAATTAAAATCGAGTAGTCATGAAATTTATCGATAAGGATCGATATTTTCGAAACATAATCAAAACGTTTCTTATAAACTTTAAGCTTTCGACATATGATAATAAATATTATTATCGGTGATTTTTAAATTTTTAGTATCGACCCAAGATTTACAGCAACTTTTATATTATCTTCTTTTTCCACCACAGACCTCGACGAGTGCCAAAGTCCCACTGCCTGCGGTACGGGTGCCCAGTGCATCAATACACCCGGCAACTACACCTGCGCGTGTCCCGAGGGCTATCACGGCGACCCCTACTACAGCTGTACGGACATCGATGAGTGCATACATCCGAATGTTTGCGGACCGGGCGCAATCTGTACGAACCTCGAGGGCGGTTATCGCTGCGACTGCCCAGAGGGTTACGACGGAGATGCACGCTCCGCCAGCGGCTGTGCGGACTATGATGAGTGCGGGCGTTCGCCATGCGGCCGCAATGCGCAATGCTTGAATACAGATGGTAGTTTCAAATGTATTTGCCCAGATGGCTATGCGGGTGATCCAAGTCAAGGATGTGAAGGTAAGTGCAGAGTCAGAAAGGAGGAAATACGAAGAGAGATTAATTTTTTTAAAGATCTTTAATACTAAGTATTTTTGTTATATTCTTTTTATTTTCAACCCTCACGGAAAATCAATTTAATCATTGCACTTTTTCGCGCATACAACAATAAAAACGACAAAAAACACTAAACGTTTATCACGGTGGCACAAAACCACATAAATATAACAACTGCAACAACAACAACAACACGCATTTTGCATATAAAAACAAACATATAACGAAAACATTTGGGCAATATTTAATTCAATCTAACCACGTAATCATAACGCATCGCGTACCGTACTCATTGCAACATCATCGACGTCTGTTACCCACCCAACATTGTCCATGCGTCATTATACCCCACTCGCAGATGTCAACGAATGTTCCACTAACAATCCATGCGGTTTGGGTGCTGAATGCGTGAATATTGGCGGTAGTTTTGCGTGCAATTGTCCGCCTGGCTATACGCTCGAGTTTGGGAGGGAATATAGTCTGGGTGGCGGCGGCAATTGCACGTCGCTGAGGGTGACCGGTGCCGGTCTGGCCTGTGTCGACGTAGACGAATGTAATATGGATAATGGAGTGGCTAAGTGTGGCACGAACGCTAAATGCATTAACTTTCCGGGCTCATATCGTTGCTTATGCCCGAGCGGCTTTCAGGGACAGGGCTACTTGCATTGTGAAAGTTAGTATCGCTAATTGTAATTTAATTAGTTGTAGTAAGCATTTCTGCATTTACTTGGAAAAACTTTGCAAGCTTTTACATATTTAGGTACATAATTGTATTAAAGTTTAAGGCTTTCCAGAGAATTCAAAGTTTTGCGCTACGATTGAGGCTTTATGCATGTATGTATATACAAGCTTTCAACTTAAAAGTTATTTCGTTTAATGTGGAAGATTTCGAAACCAAGTGCTAGCTTGTGCCTCAATTAGAAAACGAAAATTTACCAGGAAGCTTTTTATGAAGCTGTTAAAGAAATTTTTGTTAGAGAGCTTTTTAAGAGGCTTTTGTAAAAAAGTTTTTTAAGAAACGTCTGTTAAAAATCTTTTCAATTAGCTTTTGTTTGCAAGCTTTTCAAGAAGTTTTAGTTAAAGAGCCTTTTCCCGTGAGAGCTACTACCTGTGCTTAGCACTTATAATTTTTAGGTTGTGTCAAAATTTCAAATGCTTTTCGTTAAGCTTTCAAATCCCTTTAAAAGGTAAAATTATCCAGTAAAAAAGCTTGCAAGCTTTTCAGTAATTACATCATATGCTTTCACCCAAACAATACATAAATGCTTTCATACACTTCCAACGCTGTTAAAACTTTCAAACACTCGGTACCCAGCAAACGAAGGCAGCTTTCAAAGAAAATATGTACACAAAGTAATAGAAATAAGTAGGCGGTTATAGTGATTTCCAACATTAGAACTCCAAGCAGACTAAATACGGATATATTAAATTTTAATGAGAGCTTTCAAGGTTGATCTTACCTTGTGGAAAAAAAGGAAACACAGTAACAAAGAAAACTTATAATTTCTCATAAAGCTTACACGAAAGCTTGAAAGCTCAACTCTTTGTTATAGTAAAAGTCTGTAATTTTTCAATGAGTGAAAACTCTTTATATTTATATCACTCCTAATTAAAAGGTATCACAAGGAAAAAAGCTTTCTAAAGGTTTCTACATATGGGCATGCACATCGCAGAAGCTTTCTCTCGGTTATTTTTTGAATTATAGGTATCAATCGTGACTAAAACGAATCCGTTTGAAAAAGGATTCTAAGGTTACGATAGCTTTTTATGAGTCAATGATGGATAGAGCAACTACGCTCAACTATACTTAATTTATAGAGCTTCAAAACTTACCTATCAATGATACGGGGCACTAAAAGTAAAATGCTTTCTTTTATCATCGCTGATATAAATCAGTCGCGACTAAAACCAAAGCTAAAGAGCAAAAGTTCTTTCTGATTGTCACTGATTTATATCAGGCGAAGGAAGCTTTTTAAAGCTTTTATATAAGCACGCATAGAGTAAAATCTGCCACTTATCTTCGAAGATTTAAACTGGCTGCAAAAAATCTGATCTCGCAGAAGAAGCTTTCTAAAGCTTCCAAGCTTTTTTACTCAAATGTAATAATTTCACCCAATTTATAATGAACATGAATAATTTTGTAAAATAAAATCACTCGTGAAAGTTTTCGTTAGTGAAAGCACAAAAAATATCTATTAGCTTCAAAAGAAATATACTTGTTATAAACAGAAGCACTCCAGAGTATGTGCTTATTTCAAAAATTGAAAATTAAAGCCTGTACTTTTGGATTGGAAGCTCTAAGCTTTCTAAAAATGTTTGCTGGGGATGCCTTAAAATTATCAACACTTCTAAACTTTTGAATACTCTCAACAAGATGCACATACTTATCGAAGCTTTGAATGAACGCATTTTAATTGCTATCTCAATTGAACTTAATACTACTACACATTTCAAAACGCTCAGCAAGCTTTCTAATATAAGTTGCAAATGAGCGCTTGCTTTCTAAGCTTTCCTGATTTCACTTATTTGCTTACTTTTCCATAAATTGCTTTACTTATGCTTATAAAAACACTTGAAGCTTTTAAAAGCTTTTTAAAATCTTCCATTATACTTTCGTTCTGATCTTCGTTCCTCCTACTGCCTATTTTCACGCTATTCCTACACATCTCCGTAAACATTTCTCCATCAAATTCATTCCAATCATGATTACATTGTAACCAAGTATTTTTGTTTTTTTGTTTAATTTTTAAATAATTAACAACCTTCTCCCAATACCATCAACCACGAACCTCCACAACCACCACCACCATCACTGCAATTGCAACAAATGCATTAAATCCAACTACCTTAAACTCCAATCCATCAAACCAACCAACCATACCAAACCGAATCAACGTACAAAACTACGCACTTCACCGCACGTTTCGGCAACGTCACCATATCAAATGTTACACGTCGCACTCTTTTTATGCGCGC